CAGCTTGTTCACCTCCTCCTCAGTTGTGTTTATGTCATCCAACACTTGCTGGTATGTTCCTTGTTGGTGTCCCCCTCTGTTCTGTCCTCCCAGAGGCCTTCCTGTCTCCACTGTAAATACTTCCTTAAATCTCATGTTGAACTCCTCACATACCTCATGATCGTTTCTTGTGAGTTCCCCACCTTCTTTCCTTAGTTTGATCACCTGGTCTTTGACTGTTGTCTTCCTCTTAATGTGGCTATACAGCAGTTTCGGGTCAGTTTGTGTGTGTGTGTGTGCTCATTTATAAGTGGCTGCAGGGGTCGATTCACAGTTCCTGGCTCCGTACTCACCTAATTGCACTCACCTAATTGTGGTTGCAGGGGTCGAGACTCAGCTCCTGGCCCCGCCTCTTCACTGATTGCTGCTAGGTCCTCTCTCTCTCTCTCTCTCTCTGCTTCCTGAGCTTTGTCATACCTCGTCTTAAAGCAATGCATGGTTCTTGCCCCCACTACATCACTTGCTAGGCTATTCCACTTCCTGACGACTCTACGACTGAAGAAATACTTCCCAACATCCCTCTGACTCGTCTGAGTCTTCAGCTTCCAATTGTGACCCCTTGTTTGTGTGTCCCTTCTCTGGAACAACTTGTCTCTGTCCACCTTATCTATTCCACGCAGTATTTTGTATGTCGTTAGCATGTCTCCCCTGACCCTCCTGTCCTCCAATGTCGTCAGTCCGATTTCCCTCAACCTTTCTTCGTAGGACATACCCCTGAGCTCCGGAACTAGCCTTGTTGCAAACCTTTGCACTTTCTCTAATTGACCAGGTGTGGTTCCAAACTGGTGCTGCATACTCCAGTATGGGCCTGATGTACACAGTGTACAGTGTCTTGAACGATTCCTTACTAAGGTATCGGAACGCTATTCCGTGTGGCTGCAAGGGTCGATTCACAGTTCCTGGCTCCGTGTGTGTATGTGTGCTCATCTATAAATGGCTGCAGGGATCGATTCACAGCTCCTGGCTCCGTGTGTGTCTGTGTGTAATGTCATTCAGGTGTTTAGACAGAGACAGACAGGTTACGTATCCAGGGATAACTTCAGAAGATAATAAATGTTCTTCTTGCATTAAAGGAAGAGGAGTCGTGGTACCCTTACACTGGATCAACCCCTCCCCTCCTCTCCCCATCACCTACCATGCCTCAGGCGCCGAGTAACTCCCATAAATGCAATAACAAGGGTGAGGGAATGTGGTTGCTTCCCACAATGGCTGCTGCTGGGAAAATCCCCCAGTGTAACTTTGTACCCAAATTGTACTCTAGGTCATACAAGGTCGACCTAACACACCAAACAATATATACGTACTTGTATAAGTCTAAACAGGACTGGAAATATTTATTTGTTAGCTATAAATGACTTTCTATTAGTAAATTATCAAAATCGTTTACAGTGCCAGGTTAGGTAATGTTAGATGTCGACCCCACGTTAAAGCTTTTCGTTATTCGACCGAAGCCTTCCGCTGGCTTTTTTTTTTTTTATTCGCCGGTATTCTTCCGGCCCGGGTCTTTTCCAAGTAGTGGTGACCCGGCCTTGGCTCCCTATCTGGGGAGTGTCTCGAGACTTAAGTCTCCCATGGGAGGAGGCACAGTACCTCCTCATCTTTGGGACCAAGTGTCCCCAGGCCTAGCCACATTCCCCGCCCTCAAGGGGCTCGTAGGGAGAAGCTAGGCCTCTGGTCTGCCATCTACCCCGCCTCAAAGTGGCTCGTGGGGATGGCAGTCTTATGAGCTGCAGATGGTAGCAAGCTCAGGCTAAAGTATTTTCCGCTGGCTTAAAAAAAAAAATTATATACCTGTGTCTAGTACAGGAAATAAAAGAAAACTATTGACTGAATGAAAGTATAATTTTCTGAGACCTATAATTTGAAAATTGAGTAACAGGAAAGGTATATAATTATATTTACAATTTACTGATAACTTCGAAGAAGGATTTACTCTAATAACATATAATTATGTACACTTTTTTTGTGATGGATTAATACTAGGTACTGAGAGACCTACCTATAACTGCTTTGTTAGGTACGTGTATCTTGATCCCAGGAACTGGAGCTATATTCCCGTTCCTTGGATCACACTTGATTATCTCCCATGCCCAGATAATAATAATAATAATGAGATTATTATTATTATTATTATTATTATTATTATTATTATTATTATTATTATTATTATTGCTATGGGAGTGGTTTGCGAATTCGACATGGGAATTAAGTCCATTTTTTAGTGATATGGGAATTTCCACAAGGACACTACTGTGGTGTACCGTGATGTGTATTGTAAGTGTTGTATGTGTGTGTGTGTGTGTGTGTGTGTGTGTGTGTGTGTGTGTGTGTGTGTGTGTGTAACTGATGTTGGTTCATGAAGGTGGTGTTGGTATGGATATCCAACAGGCTTTTACGACCATATTAGAGCGGAGTGAGTGGAGACAAGTGGTTTTTATGACTTGAAGTGCTGTTGGAGTGCGGGCAAGGTAACGTTTACGGAGGAATTCGGGGAAACCAGTTAGTCGGACATAGAGTCCTGGAGGTGGGAAATACAGTGCCTGCACTCTGAGAAGGGATGGTGGGGGTACAGTGCCTGCACTCTGAGAAGGGATGGTGGGGGTACAGTGCCTGCACTCTGAGAAGGGATGGTGGGGGTACAGTGCCTGCACTCTGAGAAGGGATGGTGGGGGTACAGTGCCTGCACTCTGAGAAGGGATGGTGGGGGTACAGTGCCTGCACTCTGAGAAGGGATGGTGGGGGTACAGTGCCTGCACTCTGAGAAGGGATGGTGGGGGTACAGTGCCTGCACTCTGAGAAGGGATGGTGGGGGTACAGTGCTTGCACTCTGAGAAGGGATGGTGGGGGTACAGTGCCTGCACTCTGAGAAGGGATGGTGGGGGTACAGTGCCTGCACTCTGAGAAGGGATGGTGGGGGTACAGTGCCTGCACTCTGAGAAGGGATGGTGGGGGTACAGTGCCTGCACTCTGAGAAGGGATGGTGGGGGTACAGTGCCTGCACTCTGAGAAGGGATGGTGGGGGTACAGTGCCTGCACTCTGAGAAGGGATGGTGGGGGTACAGTGCCTGCACTCTGAGAAGGGATGGTGGGGTACAGTGCCTGCACTCTGAGAAGGGATGGTGGGGGTACAGTGCCTGCACTCTGAGAAGGGATGGTGGGGGTACAGTGCCTGCACTCTGAGAAGGGATGGTGGGGGTACAGTGCCTGCACTCTGAGAAGGGATGGTGGGGGTACAGTGCCTGCACTCTGAGAAGGGATGGTGGGGGTACAGTGCCTGCACTCTGAGAAGGGATGGGGGGGTACAGTGCCTGCACTCTGAGAAGGGATGGTGGGGGTACAGTGCCTGCACTCTGAGAAGGGATGGTGGGGGTACAGTGCCTGCACTCTGAGAAGGGATGGTGGGGGTACAGTGCCTGCACTCTGAGAAGGGATGGTGGGGGTACAGTGCCTGCACTCTGAGAAGGGATGGTGGGGGTACAGTGCCTGCACTCTGAGAAGGGCTGGTGGGGGTACAGTGGGTCATCTGAACTGTAACGTCAGCATGTTTCCGGCAAGACGGTGGTGGAGTGAGTGATGGTGAAAGTGCTTCTCCTTTTTAGGGTCACTCTGCCTCGATAGGAAACTTCCGGTATGTTAAAATACCAATAATAATACAAATAATAATAATTATTACTATTATTACTGTTGTTGGTATTATTATTATAAGAACAAGAATTATAATAACCTTCTTGGCGATGAAATATTTTGCTCTGAGAAACTTTGTGTAAGTTTGAAGACGATAGGTTGAACCGTGTAAGTATTCTCCTGTATGTGGTTGCAAGGGTCGAGTCACAGTTCCCGTGTGTATTAGCTGCGAGATGTTAGATTAGATAATGTTAGTTTTAGTGAAAGGTTTACGTGTTAGTTGGACTGAAATTTGTTAGAGTGAAACGGTGTTAGCTAACAAGGGACACAAAGTGTGTATGTGTGTGTGTGTGTGTGTATGTATGTGTATGTGTATGTGTGTGTGTGTGTGTGTGTGTGTGTGTGTGTACGCATCATCAATGGGAATTTATGAGGTTTGATCCATGCAAGGGGAAGATAGCTCAATTTCCTTATATCAAGATCCTTGCATCAGTATAGCAGCAATATATGACAATTCTTTCTCTCTCCCTTGTTTCCTTCCTTCTCTTACTCTCACCCTGCACGCATTCCACCATTTCCTCTCCCTTCTCCACGGTTATACCCCAGAAATCCCAACTCTCTCACCCACTCCCTGTGCTACCTCTCTCTTTGTCGTATTCTACCACCTTCATCCATCTATACACTCCACGTGTTCACGTAGTGATGGTGGTAGGTACTAAGACGCAGGTACCTGCCGTGTGCCTACTTACACGTCCTCATCATGTGGTGTAAATTTTTTACGCAAATCAAATTTACAGGCTATGAGAGAGCTGTTATTTTATCTCAGCTCATTTTGACAGCCCAGCCTGTCTAAGGTATACTGCTATCCCCCAGGATGCCACCCACAACAGTCTGCTAACACCTAGGTACCTACTTGCTGCTGGGTGAACAGGGGCAGCAAGTATAAGGAAACACGCCCAATATTTTCACCCGTACCGGGGGTCGAACCACGGACACTGAGTGTGTGTGAGCTGAGTGCGCTACCCATCAAGCTAAGTTAAACTAGTGATGGCTCAGTCAGCGATGACCTCAGTCACTTGACCAAAATTTCCACTTGACTGTATGTCATCATGCGACTAAATGCTCTAAAATAAAAAACTTTTCCTGTCCTCCCCTTTCTACACACACACACACACACACACACACACACACACACACACACACACACACACACACACACACACACACACAGAAAGTAGGAGAAAATACAAGGTCATTGGAGCGATTACGTCCTGGCTAGACGGGTAAGGAAGTACCCCTTACGATAAGCCTCTCACAATACCTCTGTTTGATTTCAGATGTAACAGTGACTCCGCTGCTGTGAGTGTGGTACTGCTGACTCTGCTGCCGTGAGTGTGGTACTGCTGACTACTGCTGTGATTGTAGTGCTGGTGCTGCTGCTGGTGGTTGTGGTGGGGCTGTACCCTCCTGCCCAGCCCTCTGAATCCTGAAACCTTGCTTCCTCTTGCACCAGTGGAGGAAAACACTATGCCTTGCACTATTAAAGAGGCGTTGAAGATAGCAGGAGGTTGAGACAGTACCATATTTTCCTCATACCAGCATAGGTCGGTACCCAGCCAGCCACACTCACCACCATCAAATTCCTACCATTACATGTCGGAGAACCGTATATTAAGAGGCGTGGGGATGACTTATTTAAACGGAAAGAGAACTAGATGTCTGTGTACTGTGCTGTACCGTAACTGGACTGATTAGAAGTGAGAGAGCTTCATGTCGATCCTGGTTCGTACAGACATGTCAGGTGCTAGTTCATGAAGCTGCATCGAGACAGTTCGTGAGGCTACGAAGCCTCTCCTGTGAGTGAGCAATATATCTCAAGGTCCTCAACCCGTGTGAATCATTCAACACCAAGTCGTGGTACAGACTCGATCCTCCGTCTGGTAATTACAGTGGTGTGCTCCTGGCCAAAACCACTAGACTGAGAAGCTCTGCGAAGGAGAAACACTTTCACATCCTACGAACTCCGCTCCCGAAGTGTAACTAAACCAGAGGTCGTTTAGCCGCCTCCTGCAGGCGCTGAAGAAGATGTTGGACCTGCAGAGCCTGCAGATAGTGCAGACCTGCTGCAGGATGGACTACAAATCTTCCACTTCCAGCCAGGATAAAGGAGAATCCAACACCATAATAAGGTTAGTGGAGTAGGCTTCCCTCTTGTTCAGTTTTATTGCAAGAATGAGTCTGGTGGCTCCCAGTGGATATTAGGGACTGTGACTAGCAACTGAGAGACCCAGGTTCGAGCCTGACACGAGTAGAGGGAAGGGGGGGGGGGAATCGTTGGGCATGTTTCCTTACACCTGCTGCTTCTCCCCATCTAGCAGTCAGTAGGTACCTGGTGTTAGTTGACTGTTGTAGGTCGCATCCTGGGGGAGGGTTATGGATAGGCTTTGAAATGAGCTGAGATAGGATAACTGAGATAGGCTAACAACTCAGATAGGATAACGACTCAGATAGGATAACGACTCGGATAGGATAACGACTCATAGGGTAAGGACTCAGATAGGGTAACGACTCAGATAGGATAACGACGCAGATAAGATAACGACGCAGATAAGATAACGACTCAGGATAACGACTCAGGATAACGACTCAGATAGGATAACTAGTCAGATAGGTTAACAACTCAGGATGACAGTTGACGTAAGATAACCTAGCTTGTAAATTGAACAGGAATTAAAAACATCAAAAGACAATCCAAAATTAAATATCCCGTGATATCCCCGAAGGTCTTTCAATCACTGGCCATTCCTAAATGTTCTCTCTCAGTCGTATTTACACACAGAGAGAGAGAGAGAGAGAGAGAGAGAGAGAGAGAGAGAGAGAGAGCTCTTACACGGATAAACAACTATTAAGCTTCTCGGAATTACTAGGATTTTTTAAGATGAGGTTAAAAGAGGTAGATGAGGGAGACTTTGTTGTGTACCGGTGACTGGTTGGTCAGTCTTGTAACATTGTTACATTGTTAATTCTGCCAAGGTTAAACGAGGTTGTTAGATGTAACACCTTCGTAAATTCCTTGTTGTCAAACACAGTTTTCGAGAATTTTCAAAATTATCAGCATTGTCTAAAACTGACACCATATTTACTTGCAAATAATTTATTGGAAAAAATTTTGAAAAAAAAAAAAATGATGTTCGTGGCAACTCTGCCTGATAAAACACCATATGTCTGATAAAACACTATAAATGTTTGATAAAACACTATATAAATGTTTGATAAAACACTATATAAATGTCTGATAAAACACTATATAAATGTTTGATAAAACACTATATAAATGTCTGATAAAACACCATATAAATGTCTGATAAAACACCATATAAATGTCTGATAAAACACCACATAAATGTCTGATAAAACACCACATAAATGTCTGATAAAACACCACATAAATGTCTGATAAAACACCACATAAATGTCTGATAAAACACCACATAAATGTCTGATAAAACACCACATAAATGTCTGATAAAACACCATATAAATGTCTGATAAAACACCACATAAATGTCTGATAAAACACCACATAAATGTCTGATAAAACACCATATAAATGTCTGATAAAACACCACATAATGTCTAATAAAACACCACATAAATGTCTGATAAAACACCACATAAATGTCTGATAAAACACCACATAAATGTCTGATAAAACACCACATAATGTCTAATAAAACACCACATAAATGTCTGATAAAACACCACATAAATGTCTGATAAAACACCACATAAATGTCTGATAAAACACCACATAAATGTCTGATAAAACACCACATAAATGTCTGATAAAACACCACATAAATGTCTGATAAAACACCACATAAATGTCTGATAAAACACCATATAAATGTGATAAAACACCACATAAATGTCTGATAAAACACCACATAAATGTCTGATAAAACACCATATAAATGTCTGATAAAACACCACATAATGTCTAATAAAACACCACATAAATGTCTGATAAAACACCATATAAATGTCTGATAAAACACCACATAATGTCTAATAAAACACCATATAAATGTCTGATAAAACACCATATAAATGTCTGATAAAACACCATATAAATGTCTGATAAAACACCATATAAATGTCTGATAAAACACCATATAAATGTCTGATAAAACACCACATAAATGTCTGATAAAACACCACATAAATGTCTGATAAAACACCACATAATGTCTGATAAAACCACATAAATGTCTGATAAAACACCACATAAATGTCTGATAAAACACCACATAATGTCTGATAAAACCACATAAATGTCTGATAAAACACCACATAAATGTCTGATAAAACACCACATAAACACCGAGGGTTTATGTGTTAAACACAATTATTTAGAGAGGTTGTTGGGTATGATTTTGATCCAGTGAAGTGGAGCCGACCTCCCCTTCCTAGGATTAAGCAGAATTTCTGCCATATAATAATAATAATAATAAAAATTATTATTATTATTTTATTATTATTATTTATTATTATTATAATTATTATTACTATTATTATTGAAGAAGGAAAGAAGAAGAATTAACCCCCATTGACTGCAGGTGCACGAGGGTAAAACCATCCTCTTTCAACAGTGGAAAGGCAACACTCTGAGATCGTATTGTAAATTCCCCAGTGTAAATACTGAGGTAACCTCAGGGTGGACAACCAGATTCTTGTGAACTCTTAACCTAGTGCATTCCTGGGGAATACTGACTTGCTAGTGTCTCAATACTTGCTAGTCTAGTTTCTCCTCTAGTGTTCATAACGTAGGGTGGTCCCTCGTGATTAGGAGGGGGTTGGGATGTGGTGGCTCTGGGGGTGGGAAGTGCAGTTCTGGAGGTGGGAAGTGCAGTTCTGGAGGTGGGAAGTGCAGTTCTGGAGGTGGGAAGTGCAGTTGTGGAGGTGGGAAGTGCAGTTCTGGAGGTGGGAAGTGCAGTTGTGGAGGTGGGAAGTGCAGTTCTGGAGGTGGGAAGTTCAGTTCTGGAGGTGAGAAGTACAGCTCTGGAGGTGGGAAGTACAGCTCTGGAGGTGGGAAGTGCAGTTCTGGAGGTGGGAAGTACAGTTGTGGAGGTTGGAAGTACAGTTCTGGAGGTGGGAAGTACAGTTCTGGAGGTGGGAAGTACAGTTCTGGAGGTGGGAAGTACAGTTCTAGAGGTGGGAAGTGCAGTTATGGAGGTGGGAAGTACAGTTCTATAGGTGGGAAGTGCAGTTCTGGAGGTGGGAAGTACAGCTCTGGAGGTGGGAAGTGCAGTTGTGGAGGTGGGAAGTGCAGTTGTGGAGGTGGGAAGCACAGCTCTGGGGGTGGGAAGCGCAGTTCTGGAGGTGGGAAGCGCAGTTCTGGAGGTGGGAAGTGCAGTTCTGGAGGTGGGAAGTGCAGTTCTGGAGGTGGGAAGTGCAGTTCTGGAGGTGGGAAGTACAGTTCTGGAGGTGGGAAGTACAGTTCTGGAGGTGGGAAGTACAGTGCTTGCACTCTGAGGGATGGATGGGGATGCTACAGTCCTTGGGGGTTGGGAAGTACAATGCCTGCACCCTGAAGGATAGATAGGGATGTTGCAGTCCTGGAGGGTGGGAAATACAATGCTTGCATTATAAAGGGTGAGTCTGAATGCGCAAAAACAGTAACAGCCACTGAACGAACCTTGGCAAATGTTTTTTTTTTCTCTTTTAGTCACCGCACCTTTGTGGGGAAACTCTTGTGTTGCATACTTACTCTCAGAACTGTCTTCTCATGTTTAAGAGTCAGAAATTTAATAAGTGAACCAATAAGGGCTAGTTCCCAGGTTTCCGGTATCTGTGTGAGTTCTCTCATCTAGGAGGTCACTCGTAAGATCTTCCCGTGTGAACCTAAGTTCCTATCCGTAAGTAAGCCTGTATAAGAGGTCAGTAAACAGAGGAGACAGTCAGTCAGGGAGAGAGTTTGGGAGTCCGTGAGGACAGTACTGACTGTCAGGTAGTATGTGAGTGGGCTGTGTTTTGGCGTAGTGACAAGTAGTGTGTGAGGGGGCTGTGTCTTGTAGTGACAGAGAAGTAGTGTGTAAGGGTGCTGTGTCTTGTAGTGACAGAGAAATAGTGTGTAAGGATGCTGTGTCTTGTAGTGACAGACAAGTAGTGTGTAAGGGTGCTGTGTCTTGTAGTGACAGACAAGTAGTGTGTAAGGGTGCTGTGTCTTGTAGTGACAGACAAGTAGTGTGTAAAGGTGCTGTGTCTTGTAGTGACAGAGAAATAGTGTGTGAAGGGGGGACTGTCTTGTGGCCAACAGTGTGTTTGACCTGACTTGAAGGATTCTCTGGTGTACACTACAAGTGTAAGTACCCTGCTACTACTGTCATCCCCTACCTTTAATGTTGTCTCAGAACTTAAGCATAGTGTTCTCTGTAAAATATTCCTAGTTATAAAGTTTGGTATTAATGTACTCAACTAGTGAGTATGCAACAATTGCAACTCGCCCAATTCACTGTCACTCATTATTTGCTATTTTTAACCCTATTCTGTGAACCTAAATTCCTATCCAGTTTGTTTTTATAACGAAGCAATACCTAATTAGAATACCTGGGAGTTAGTCCCGTATATACGCGGTAATTAGGTACCCTGCTGTACTGGGTAGTTAAGTCACCAAGTGCGATGTTGATGATGTATTTTGCAAATGAAAATCATTAATTATATTTAGCAATTATTAATTAGGTATACTCATAAGGAAAAAGAATAATTGAAAATTGTTATTATGGGGAAGCGCTAAACCCGTAGGAATATACAGCGCCTGTGGGGGATATGGAAGGTATTCAGACTTAATTTTTGAGTCCTAGTTGCTGTGCGAGTTAGACCAGCCTAGTATGGGCTAGTATCTCTGATAAGCCGTTCGTGTGTACTGAATGTGTATGTGTATATATATATATATATATATATATATATATATATATATATATATATATATATATATAATATATATATATATATATATATATATATTATATAATGTATGTTTCTCAAGAATTGCATAAGCGTCATGTGTTTTCAATACGCGTTTTTCCCCATTAATATAATGAGGACCTTGGTGTTGGTATGAAGGTATTTTCCGGCGAGTAGGAGGTGCTAGGCTCCACCCCCTTCCCCGTTAACCCCCCTCCCCACA